TCTCTCTCTCGGGGCCTGTCTTTTTTTATTTTTTTATTTTTTTTATTATAGCGCACAGGGCGCACCTCCCTCAGCGCGCCCACCGCGCACAGCGGACCGCACTGCACACTGAGCACAGCGCATGGCGCACAGTGCGCGCACTGTCATTCCAGCGCACAGCGCAGTGCGCACCACCCTGCACCGCACTGCGCACTGGTGCGCCGCAGCTATGGAAGGGATAGATTGAGAGAAATGGGAAAGAACTATGTTAAGTATGCTTAAAAAAAAAAGAAAAAAACGAACCTTATGGTTCTGGCTCCTTTTCCATTCTGGTGAACATCAGTGCGGTTCCTATAAAAGGGTCTTTACGATTCAGACCTGTAAATGTGACCCTAACATAAAAGGGCCCTCTCGCCCAGAAATCAATTTCACGAGCAGCATTCCAAAACACAAGTTCCCTGAGACAAATGTCGCATCCAATGTGAGATGAAAAGTCGTTTTGAGTAGTCACCGTCAGGTCCTAGACGAACAGGTACTGGGTTCAAATTTTAAGACTGAGATAGGGTCGTGTCTGTTCGGCAATAAGTCAAAGGTCACAGTCCCAGACCAGTCACAGCCCCACGAGTCAATTCTGACTTAGACCAGGAGTCCAAAAGACAGGCCCGACGGCCAAAGCAGCAGCAGACCATGGGAAAGGGTACTGGGACACACACTTGCAACAACAGGTACTGGGCAGGAGTCCCAGGCACTTGGAGGCCGAAAGCAGACCTCGCCAGACCAGTCCAGCGCTATAAAGGACTGGCCAACCTCCCCATTCGGCGGATACTCATTCGCATGAGAGTGTGGAAGTGCTGAAGGCACTTGTGCGCCAGATGTGATTGAGCAGCACTAGGCTTGAGAGCTGCACTGAAGGAAGAGAGAGAGAGTTGGGCACTGGCTGGAAGGAAGGCAGCCATAGCTGCGTCAGTGCTAGTTAGTGTTAGTAGTAAGAAAGTCAGTAGAGAGAGCCAGTGAGTAGTATTCAGAGTAGATCCTCCTGAGATAAGGAGTGTGCATGCATGGTGAGTATGAGAAGACCAGGACTATGGACAGAAGGAGAGAAGAGAGAGACCAGGAGAAAAGAGAGAGAAGTGAGCTATGGTGTGACTTACCTGCGGAGCGCCGTCCTTGATGATTGGCAGCTGGCGCCGCTGAGCGCCAGGCCTTGTATTCTTGTTGGATGAAGAAGACTTGTAATTCTGTTGGGCGCTATACAATTTGAACTCGTGATTCTCTTTCTTAATCTGGTTATGATAATTGAGTTACGCTTTCTGGTTCCCACTCATCTTCCATTGAACTTCATGTGAGTCATTGCAATCTGTGTGATCTGTGTTACATGCATGCTGTCTGGTACACTCCAGCAAGTGGCGAACGGACAGGTTCCTTGCACCTATTCCACCGGCAAGTCAAAAAAATACGTCATATACTCACACACGCTCCTCCCGGTTATGGCCGAGAGGTCCGAGCGGACGGCATGGATTACTTCCCGTGGGAAGAACTATGCTGTCATCCTTCTGATTGCTCAGTTTCTGATGTGTTGCTATCATTTACAGGTGAGTGTTTTGCAGCTATTCATGTCAGTATGGGGAATCGGACCGAAGACCGCAACAGAAATGTACAATCGTGGATATCGGACCCTAGAAGATTTGAAGAGAGAGTCCTCACTTGAACGCATGCCAAGGCTCGGTTTGAAGTACTATGCTGACATTTTGCAGCGCATTCCACGTGTTGAGGTATATTTTTTTGCTCCCTTTTTTTTTTTTTTTTTGCTAACTCTTTTAAGTGGTCATGAGAGCTTTAGAGGAGAAAGATTGAGGTTGTCAGTACACCAGGCCATAATGTGGTAAAGCCACCCGTGTATTTATTGATTTTTATTCGTTAAGAAGGGTCTCTCTTTTTGAAGTTTTTTCCTGTGTCCTATGGTTATCTATCTCATTGGCATGCATCAGAGAGTTGGCAGCAAAAGAAAAGGAAAGAAAATAAAATGTGGAGCTGGCAAAAAGAGCAAGTGAGGTTTCTGCAAGCCAGTGGAAGAAAGTTCAAAAAAACAATCAGTAGCAGCACAAGGTTTCCTATGTAGGAAAAGACTCAAAGCGGAACAAGCATATATGAGCAAAGTCAAAAGCAGAATTACCAAGTGGAGAGCACACCAAATGGGAAGACACTCGCATTGAAGTCTCTTGATAAAGAAAGCCGAACTTCTCGCCTCCACTCATAAATACAACCACAAGGTAGCAGCTCTACTATAATGTGACCACCTATACTACTCTCCTCCTCCATTTCTATGCACAGCCCACTTCTCTCCCTATATCTGTGTCCACTCTCCTCTTGCCTGGCAATGCTGCAGAGTCTGACCACCATGACTGCGGTCTTTGGCCATCGCCAGGTAAGTCCGCCTGTTCCCACCACTGTCCTCTGTCCCCGATCAGCTAACCCCTGTGCTACTGTTCTTCGACCCAGCACATCTATGGCTGCTGCTGGCTGAGCAGCTGACTCACAGCTGCTTCTCCCCTTCGTCATCAGTGAGCCCTGGCCTGGCCTCACGTGCTCTGCCAGAAGCTAGCGCTGGCAGCCAGTGCCTCCGAACGTGTGGAATGCTGCGGCCTCCTCACTTTTGTTGTTTCCTGGAGGCCGCGGCTGTCTGACTGGGGTCGGGCTTTTCCGAAACTGAGAGCCTTCCGGACTGAGTACCGGGGCCACAGCCTCTGCAACTAAATTAGTGGCTGGGCCTATTGGTCAGTTGGAGAGGCTGCACCCAGCCTTCTTTCAACTGTCTCACACCAGCCTTCACTCATTACGTGCGGACGCATTTTCTGCCGCAGCCTTCACTTAGGGCTGGGCCTGATCTTTATGTGCGGCCCCTGGTGGATGCCCGCCGAGGACTGAATCCTTGCATTTCTCCTCGTGTGTTCACAGAACTTCCACCCTGTGCTCTTTTTTTTTGTGGATATGCACCCAGAACACCATGAGCCCCTCCTCCTCCTCCTCCGCCCCCCCGCCCTCCCCCCTCCCCCCGCGAAAAGAAAAAAGAAAAAGATCATATCTCCCATAGACTCGAAAAGATTAGGAGAATCCCAGCAGCATGAGTGAGTGCTATACTACTATACACATCTCTGTTGATAAACAGGTCACAAGTTCAAATCCTACTGTATTGAGTAATGTCAGGGATGTTTGTCATTTTTTTATCCGGAAAGGGAACAAAAAAAAGCTAAAAATAAACTGAGGAGGTAACCCAGCCCATGTGGCTGAATAGTACATGCATTTAACTGTTGCTAAACAGAAGATGCGCTTGAATCCTGCTCGAAGCAGATGAAGTCTGATGAACACAATTATGTTAGGGACTATCCGGAAAAAAAAAAAGGAAGAAAAACAAGTGGGGACTCTGGGAGAACATTGAGCAGAAAGTTGATATAACACACAAAGCTCTTTGCAAGCAGTCCTTGGAGTGATCACGACTCAAGAATTTTCAGTAAAATTGTGTAAATTACTAAATTCATCTGTGGTAGAGTAACTGGAGTTAAGGAACTTGGAAGATGATGATGGGCATAAGAATAGTAGAGGGGTGGTGGTGGGGGAGGGGGGGAGGGGGGGGGGTGTTAGGGTATATGTGAAAACAAGGGGGAGAGTCAGAAAAACAATAACTTGTCATCACTAAACTCAAAAGACAGAAAAGGATGAGAGAATTGGACGATGATGAAGATGGGCACATAATGCCACATATATTATGTTCGTCTTGATTATCTCAGATACCTTCATACCGTCTTCCCCTGTATAGAACATACGGTCACTTTAGCTGTATTTGAGGCAACTCTCAGTCCAGGTACAGTGATGATGACCATACGGCGTACGTTCTATTTGGGGGAAGGCAGTCGTAGTTCCTGCACATCATTTAGAGCAGGACAGATTGGTACTTTATCTCTGTCTATTGCATATGACTTCATGTGTGTTAGTCCTCTGAACTTTCTGATAAGGAGTTGAGACAACACGTTATGAAGTTGGGAAATTTCAACCAGGATTTGTCACACATATTCAGGACTGGCAGCCTAAAGTCATGTTCGTCTGATTTGTGAATGTCTTCTTCTGCAGGCAGTTGAGCTTGAGAAAGTGGTCGTAGGTGTGGCAAAGGAGCTGTACCCTGGGGTAAGCTCGGTGTCCCAAGATCTGTCAATTCCTCTCTTATGTGGAAGACATTGTGGATGGACTGCAAGCTCCCATTCTTGTCAAACAGCAATGGCTATAATGCTTAACTTCAGCTTCAGAGATGGTCATTCCAAATCTAATGGGCTGATGAAGTGGACATTTCTTTTTTTGTAACTTCTTGAGCAGTGTCATGCATGCATCCATGTGTG